CCCACATTCGTACCCATCAAGGCGGACATTTATTGATACCCTGACGATGACCGAAAACATTCCGTTATATACCGCCACCTACAGGCCAGTCCTGCTCGCTTTTTTTCTGTTATTATTTTTAAAGAGGGGTTTTTTCTCCTGTAAAATTAATCCAATCATTTTTAACTTTTTCCGAGGAGTTTTTTTCACCCCTCAATCTTCATGCTTCTCAATGGACTTCTAATTCAGAAACTATGAATTGCATTTTGTAAAGATTCAGCCTACCTCGTCTAAAACTCGCATGCAAATTTATTTTAACTTGCTTTGATGGGACCCCGACGGGTCTTTAATAAAAATTATCTATCTATCTATCTATCTAAAGTGCTACTTAAAAGACTCTTGTTTAAATTATAAGTTATGGAAATGCGTAGTCCCCTAGTAGAGTTTATCAAGTTATACCTGTCTAATCATAAACAAAAGGTTTTGGTGGGATCTTCACTTTCCAGTGAAAGCCCTATTGTAAATGGTGTCCTATAAGGCACCGTTCTAGGTCCTATTTTTTTCGTGCTTTACATAAATGATATCTCTACGGCAGTTAAATATTCTCAATCGTTTATTGATGCTGACGAACTCAAATGTATGTATTCTTTCAATAAATCTACGAGCCTTCATTGCCTGGAGCAAATCCATGCTGACTTGCTTGCGCTCTCAGCTTGGAGCTCAAAATGGCTTATGGAATTCTCGCCGTCTAAATGTCGCTAGATGGTCGACGGTCTAAAACATTTGTCTTATCAGGAGAGGCTGAATTTGCTTGGCCTATTCCCTCTCTCTTATAGACAAATAAACTGCAGTTTACTCTGGACCTTCCGGATTGTTCGCGGCCAGGGTTGCTCATTAAGAGCAGAGGACTTCTTTGAGTTCGCCCGTACAAACCAACTACGCGGCCATGCATACAAGGTCGGAAATGAGCGCACGCGTTTAGACCGACGAAGATTTTCATTCAGCCAGCGGGTTGTCAGACCGTGGAACTCGCTTCCAAGCGAGATGGTGACGGCTGCTACAGTTTGTGTGTTTAAAAGAAAACTTGCTCGTCTAGTTTTCGACAGAAATCGGCTTGTACAGCATGACTATGCACAGCCAGTTTTGTAAAATCTGTCATATACAATCTTCCTCACTAATTTACAGTGACCCCATGCACTACATTATGATTACGATTGAACTGTGACCCAATCACATTTTAAATGTGAGGAGTGGAGTCATTCAGGGTAGTGTACTCGGCCCGCTTTTATTTTGCCTTTTCGTTAATGATGTACCCGATTTATTTCAGAATGGTAAGCCCTTCATGTATGCCGATGATTTTAAAGTTGCATATCAATATAAGTCGGCAGATCATGGCATCGTGCTTGAGCTCCTAAAGAGCGATCTACAGGCTTTCGCCCAGTGGTGCCGCACATGGCGCCTTTCTCTTTCTTGGCATAAGTGCTCAGTCATGGTGGTTGGCGACGACCGCCAACCTCAACTAAGTATTGAAGGTCACGCCATAAATGTGACAGGGGTTATAAAGGATTTGGGCGTATCATACTCCAAGAGTCTCAATCTCTCGGAGCACTGTGCCTTGATAGTCTCCGAAGCACGTAGAACGACCGGGTTTATCCTCCGAAATTTTAAAACTAGGGACATTAGAATGCGCCTTTTCAACATGTACGTTAGACCTGGTCTGGAATACTGTTCGTTTTCATTTAGCCTCATGCGTGCTACTGAGCGGAAGAAAATAGAATCCGTTCAACACTTTTTTACTAAGAGAATTTTAACCCCGGAACACCGACATTTGTCTTACCAAGAACGTTGCCGGCTTACAGGCCTCGATCCTTTATGGTTCCGTAGATTACAAAAGGGACTATTTTTGCTGTTTAAACTCTTATATAATCACACATTTAACCCGCTCACCTCTTTAAGACATCATATCCACCCACGACGTAACAGTCACCGTGAGGTCTTCTTATTTCTGCCTCTGGCACGTACTGTTAAATATCGTCGGTTCTTTTCTGTAAATGCAATTGCTATTTGAAATAAACTACCCATGAGTGTGAAAACTCTGCAAAATTTTCCTTTATTTAAGAGAACTATTACTCGATTTTTGCATTCAGAAAATCTCCCACAAATTTTGAGTGCTGAATCTACTGATCAACTGTACCGTAGCGATGGCGTTTGTGGTCTCTGAACACTATGGCCGGTCTCACCAGCTGTTCCTTAACGCCTCTACTTTGACTATCCTTAACTTCATGAAAGGAATTTGACGTCCGATAATCTCCGATACCGTGCAACCTCCCCCCTTCTTGACGGTCGATATTCTACCACCGCCGACAGTTTTTTTTCTCCTGAGCCCTCCAAACCACAAAAACCACCATCAACTATATTTCTATGCCTTAAGCTCAGGAGTTTTTTTTCACTGCTGGTCGGATTTGTGTTTAATCGCTTCCCTTGACAATGCCTGTAAACTGGCATTAAATTAAAATTTATTTATTTATTTATTTATAATATGAATCTGCGAAAGCACTGTACATAAATAGGGTCATCAAGGGCTCTGCCTGTAACCCTTCAATATACACATATGTACACATACACATAGGACCTGAGAGACTACCCCAACCAGTGGTCTTTCAAGGCACACCCATGACTGAATGTACCACCATCGAGGATTTAGGTTTAAGCTACACAACTAATCTTGATCTCCCGCCACACTCTGACAGAATTACAGTCAAAGCCGCCCAGATATGTGGCTTTATTTCTAACAATTTCTACCTTCCTGAAATTAAATTAAGGCTCTATTGCATGTTTTTACTTCTCATTCTCGGGTATTGTTGTCCATTCTTTCGTTTACTGAACGAGGCTAGTCGTTTAAAAATTGAAAATGTCCAAAGACGCTTTTCTAAAAAAAATTTTGATAGGGAACATCCAAGTATCTTCTACTCAGATAGATGCCAACTAAATAACCCGAACTTTTTATGGGTTCGAAGACTAGAAGCAGGCTTCTATCTCCTCTTTCGAATTAATGCTAGTCCAAATCTTCCTCGGATTTCAGCACATACCCCTATTAGTCGCCCATACAGTCTTCGCAACTCTTCCTTGATTATACCTCCTCCAGCTCCTTCCACCTCTAAGCGTTCTCTTTTTTCGCTTTCAGATATGTTTTTTTCTGGAATAACCTTTCAATAAATATAAGGTCTTCAGATAATCTAAACACCTTTAAAAGAAGACTACGCCTTTATCCAAATACTGACTCGATTAAATTTTTATTATCCTCATCCTTCCCCGACAACTTTCTCTATTCATATTGACCCAACTGTGAAAAACTCGGCGAATCGGTGGGATTCGAACCCACGCAGTAAGGGGAAGGCTTTATTACTGTCAACGCTCTAACCACTTGAGCTACCAGGCCCGCCGGACGACGCGAGTTTAATCATGATGCATTTCGTGCACCCACCCAGCTTCTTCAAGTAAATGTGTTTTTCTCGTGCAAATAATATTTTTACGCAATTTTAACGGAAAATGTTCACAAATTTAGGAAAATGCTCGTCACGATATATTTGGGTCATTTCTTCTGTTAACGCTTGTCATTGATTCTGATTGTTTATCCGAGCGTTTTTTCTCTGAGAGGAGAGTAAGTTGCCCACGAGAGCTTTACTGCATAGAATTTACTGCAATCGGAATCGAAATTTTGCCTGACATTAACCGTGGGAGTCCGTTTGGTGGCATGAGGCTTTTTAGAGAACTAAGCGCTTTTTATCGACCGTTGAAAATCGGATAAGCAAATATGTGCAATCTCGCGTCCTAAACTGCAGTACAATGGTTCGACCGTCTTCGCCGACGATGCGCATCGTAGGCCAGATGCAGCAGGGACGGTGATTCGCATGTGAATTAGTTTATAGTGACAGTAGACTTGCGCAGCACCTACCGCACTCCCTACTTCCCCACCCTGGCCCGATGTCAGGACAGATTCGAGAAGACCAGAGGCGCGGGAGGGCGCAAGTAGATGGCCCGGCCGAGCTCGCACTTTGGCGCTCCACTCGACCTTTCTGGTCCGCACAGCAAATGACCAGGATTTTAACCAATACCAAAAATTGGGAGAACGGTAAGTGTTCTAATGTGTGCGACGTCTGTCGGCAACTAGGTCCGCAACCCTACCCCGAACTGTTGGCAGTTGTTATGGCGCCAATTTCGATAACGCCTGTCAGACCCGACTTGGCCCCATATTGGTCCAGCGTATCGGCCACGTGGCCCGTTTGGAGGGCAGCTAAAGTGCAGTAAAAACATAGGCAATCCCTCGTTTAAATGGGCTGAAATCGCTTTGTCATTTGGAGCGCACTATCAACTGACATGAAGAATACTATCCCCCATTTATCTCAAGAACATATTACTATTTTCCACTTTTTCTGTGTCAAACAGCTCAAATTACCCGAAAATCCGACTATGGCTAATTTCGCAAAACGCTGTTTACCTTCGTATGACATACCTTATAGTCCTAGTTATACTAACTGGAATTTTGATACCCTGCGTCGGTTACCAATAAAATCTGTTGATGATTTTCGCGGCGAATTTTTTTGTTTTGTATTGATGGTCTACCATGGTCTGCGAGAACTCGACCGTAATGGCCTCATTTCCCATTGATTCATTGCTGGTATAAAAGATCGGATTTTTTAAACCATTCAGTTTTTGCAGCCCCACTCACCTTTCCTGCTGCTTTTCAGCAGAGTCAGTTATGAGAACTTCATTATAAACCTGTTAAAGTGAACTATTTCAGCCCAGAACATTTTTCGGCGTGAATACAGTGTTTCAACACTTAAGAAAACCTTTTCCCCTGTCTACCTGTCTTAGGGGAATGATGGTAGGAGGGTGTGGTACGAGAGGGGCCTCTAAAACGTGCGAAACGGCAAGAAATATATTGCGCGACAATTAAAAAATTACATTTTTGCCAAAATTTGTTTTAATGCATAAAAAACCTAATAACTGACCTTCAGACTGAGAAAGCAGACTATGAGAAGGCAGGAAGAGTACTATCACATGATGCGTTAACGGTATTGGCCGGGTTACGATGTAAACCTATTAGCCTGCGGCTGACAAATCATTAGGTGTGTGTACGTGCGTTGTTATCGCTGTGCAGTGGAAGTTCATAGCTAAGGTTTTGCCGTTTTCTCCGAAAAAAGGCAAGAGCATGGAGACATCGGGTGTGCGATGGTGGTTATGGTCAAAGGATGCCATAGTACCATCCTCCGTAAGCATACGACTTCCATGGTGGAAGGCTGAGCAACGGTGGGGGGCAGTAGATTGGGCAAAGCAAGTTCGCTAACTTTGGTGTGGCTTTGAACAGATAGGACGTGAATGCAGTAGTTCGCATGCTGTATTGTGAGGCATATTGAACCCCCGGAAAGTGTCAGCGGAGACTGTATAATGTGCGCATTTTAAGAAGATGATCAGGCTCACTCCTGACCTGCCTACACACTGGTTAATAAAGTAACCAAATGATGTAGTAGGAAAATGACTAGGGAAGTATTTGATGGGACGCAAATAATAACCGCAAGGTAGGTCAGTCGAAAAACAACCTCCTAACGACAAGATAGTTATGGGATTTACTTGAATGACAATACCAGGCATTTACGAAAACATGGGACCGGTATGGCATACTAACTAAGTTACTTACGTAGTTGACTGACGTTGTAAACTGCTTTCCTAAAGTTTTACGATTTGATATCTCTAAATCTGATATGCACAAATTCTTAAAATAAATTCTTCAGTACATCAAATCACTAGGGAAGGTTTAGGTTGACAAATTTTGAACATATCTTACCAGTATGTCGCGTGCCGCCCTCTGTGTACCGAACTTCTTTTTTCGGTTTACGTTGCAACCCGGCCAATACCGTTAACGCATCATGTGATAGTTCTCTTCCTGCATTCTCATAAGCTGCTTTGTCAGTCTGAAGATCAGTCATTAGGTTTTTTGATGCATCTAAACAAAATTTGGCGCAAATATAACTTCTTAATTATCGCGCACTATATTTCTTACCGTTTTGCACGTTTTAGAGGCCCCATCCTTACAACCCAATTCTATCATCATTTTCGTAAGATAGGTAGACCGGAAAAAGTTTTCTTTAGTGTTGCGACACTGTTTTGATGCCGAAGTATGAATCCTATGACACATTTAACCGCAATCTGACCACTTAGACAACAGCCAGCCCCTCCGCATGTGGACTCAAGTCGATTTTCATCCCTACCAACTGCCCAGCTCTCAACCCCATTGAAAATATTTTCGTACTCATCAAAAGACATTGGCGTTAGGTGAAGAAGAAACTGTCCATGCACGAAAAACTCGATTTCATGTTAGACATTCTCATTGAACAATCCGTTATGGACAACCTGGCCATCTCCGTATCTGAATTTTAAAATTTGAAGATAAGTGGAAGATATTATTTTAATTGGTTTTTCTGAGAGACCTAATGATTTTGGCTCCGGTTTTTTGGTTAACTTTACCTTAATACAGGTCTATTCACTCAGACCTACATGTTGCCATTGCCCTTTTGAGTTGCACTACTCTGTGCCTGACACCATCAGTCGCACTCTGCAATTCAAATTTTGTGCATTCGATTTCTCTCTAACTGTGTGATTTATTTCTACATCTTTAGCTTCTAGCTGAAATTCAGTCACCTGATCTGCCAGAAGTTTACTTAGTTACAACTTACCTCGAGACAAGATGAGAGTAAAAATCACAGGTCGGCGAAAGCTCTCGGCCTCTGTACGTAAGCATAGATTAACTACACCTAGGTCAGAAGGCTTGACTAAATCTAATTCAGAAGTCTTACCTAAATCTACGTCAGATGGTAGTATTATTTAATCGCCACCCGTTATAACTGGTATGCAGCTTAAACTGTCTTCACTACGATTCGCGGCGAATCGGAGTGTAACGACTCTGGTATCATACCCATAATTCTTTAAAAAGAAGGGCAGGTGCACTGTCGTGTAAAATTATGGTATCCAGCCGGCGTCGGTGGATGTCATTGTAATCAAAAACGTGTGGAGGAACACCTTGCTGTTGATAGTGCCCGAAGTCAACCGCCAGACTGGCTGCTCTTCAAATTTAATCGCCATTCAAACCATTAACTGTCGGCAATTCTTGCAAGTTGCCGTTGGCGCAGTGTGCGCTTTTGTAAGTTTTTCCCCCACATGACCATCTGCGGCGACTTCACTGCCTTGTCTAAAAATAAGATCTCATCGAAGAGGCAAATGCTCCTGCGGAATGAGGGCCGATAATCAATATATTTCTTAGCAAATAAAAAACGTTCTCCAACAGGTTTCCTAGCCAAAAACGGCGTGATCATGGTCTTCTGTTGGTGAAGTTCAAATTTTCACATCCTGTTCCTAATTCTATTCAGAGAGGACATCGGCAGATGTTCCCTGTAAATGGGTTCGATGATAATTCCTACTGTACAACCAATAAAATCGCCGTCTTGCTTAGTTGTGGACAGTTTTGGTCCACCCTGCTAATTTCTGGATAATGTTCTATCGTTACGTATTCGCCACAGAGTAACCTTATCAATATTAAACATTCTTGCCAACGACTCACGCGACAACCCTTCCGATAGTCATTTCCGTATGCTATCATTTTCGACTGCTGAGAGACATTGTCTGGACATCTTTGTCATACGGCATGACACAGAAAAGTGGCAGCATGTCACGCGTACCCAATATTATTTGGTTATGCCTATCAGTCCTCGGTGTAGTAAAAAAACATTGTCGAACATGTCTGCTGCTACGTTTTATACCATGAAACGCCAGCAATTTACAAAAAAAGGATTTTATAAGCTGATTTTGGCCCTTTTTCTTGAAAACGTTGTAATTTCTTAAACCCGCCCTCACCTGATTGTTCTTCGAGGCAAAGTCGAATTTTCCGTTTCCAGATGGAATCTTTTTCGTACTTTTCCAGTTTACATTAGTCTTCGTTTACAGCACAATGCACATAAACATATAGTTTCAACCTGCAAATTTCCACAGTCTATGAAATTATCTGGATATCAAGAAAGGTCAGATTTCTACCAAATCTGGCCTGTTTTCCTTCAAAAAGGAGTTTGAAATGAACTTCTCATCAGTAAATGGATTTCCGTGTCCCGAATCACTTTAATAAACCCAAATAACAACACCGAATGCAAGGTATACTTCACGCTCAAGTTTCGACCACGACATTTCCTGAGTTAGACCACCTATTCTAAGCGGGTCGGAGAGGACCGGCCTGCATATGGTAGTGTATAAGGGATTCGAAACAGACATCGTCAAAGCAGAATTCGTAACACAGATGAGGCTATCTGCTTCAAAATTTCGAGACGGGAGGAAGCCAGACGCGACCGATCGCAGTCCGCTTAGATTCTTGCCGATGAGGGGACATTAAAGGCTGCGGCGCTCATTAAGGCGTACGGGAAGATGCGACCATGATACTTCCTTGCTGACCAATTAAGCTACAAGCGGATGTCGAAAACAGTGGATTCCGCTGCCATCGAAAACAGATCGCTTAGGGTCGAAATGAAAAGGCATAAACAACCGCGAACATCATCAATGCAGAGGAGGGCTAATAACAGTGGATTTGGCAGCCAATTAAAAACTGGGAATCATAAAAAATAAAAGTGACAGTCTCCACTTGAGCAGGCAAAATATGTATGATCTACTGTTAAATCCCAGGAACGCCCTTCTCAGAGTCAATAGGCTGAGGGACTTTGTGTTTTTTGTGTAAGGTTCTTACGCAATTCCGATTTAAATACCGATAACTTAGTGGATGGCCTGTGTTCTGGGTTCTGGTGGATAAATCAACTGAATTATTCCAACGAAAGGCATATTGGGATGAAAAGGAGGAAGCATTTAGAATAAGAAGAAAGAGGAGGCCAGATCACCATGGAGGAGTTACCTGAGGTATAGGAAGGATCTCTCGGAATGAGAATGTTGATGCGCAGAAGATTGGAGCAAGATTGAATGCGAAACAGGAATCCAAGGTCAGCCTCAAGCCTTCTAATCCATAAAAGCTTAATGTCCATCAACTGATATACCTTAGTATAAGAAATACTGGACGCAGCTTGAGGGAAGAGATTTCGAGTAGAAACTCTCTGAGTAACTTCGATTTTATCAAGGCCACAGGCGTTCATTAAACCAAAGAAAGGACAACAGTACTCAAGGACGGGAAGAAGAAACATTCGACAAAGTCATAAGTTTTTTCGGAAAAAAAATTAGGTGATGTGAACTCACATATCTGGACAGCTTTGGCAGAGACACTTGCGAAAGTCAAGGATTTGAGATCAACTTAAATCACGCACAATAAGTTCGTTTCGTCTAATGACAGAAGTCAGGCAGCTGTGAGGACTAGTTTATTGTGTACACAGGGCAGATTGCCGTAAGTTGGCTGTTTGCTTGCAACAGAGAAAAGCGTCGGTTCACGGAGAGCGTCAGTCGCGGTGTGTAGTTTACGCGGGAGTGAAAGTGTGTGTCAGTAGGTGGGGGTGACTGGTTGGATGCTGGTCATGAGATTGGACGGATTAGGGGAGGATTAGGGGAAAGCATAATTACAGGGGCTCACGGGTATCAAGCCAGGTCGTCTGACGCGCATAAGGTGATAACAGTTTGTGGGGGCAGCCGGGGGTCACTGCAGCTGGACAGGAGGGGGGCCCAATTATAATCGGCGGGGGTGGTTGTGTGTCATCGGCCTGGCAACGATTGTCACGGCCATCGACCGACAAAACGGAGCCGGAGAAAAGGGGGACTGGAGCGACTGCTACAACTCCCCCCCAGACGCCAAACGGAGCGAAGGCGTCGACATGCTAGCCAGCCACAAACCTGTTGGGCCAGTGGACGTGACGACCAGATCGTATGCGGCGAACCGGAGGGGGCTGTCGCCAGTAGGTGGAGGCATCACTGTTTGCGGCGGGGTACAGTGTTGGGGTGAGGAATGGTCACTGTAGTCGATTAACGCCGGCTTGACGCGTTCAGTGCTGACTGTGTCGGTCTTGCCGTTGCGGTCGGTGACAACATCTTTGTCAGATCGACGAAGGACATTATACGGCCCGTCATATGGTTGTTGGAGTGGTCGTCGGACAGCGTCCTGCCGAACCAAGACGAAATTGCACTTATCCAGGTCGGGAGGGATGAAGGAATTGACCGGTGACGCCCGATGGGGCGCTGCGCGGAGATTGCGCATGGCACTACGCAGTTGATCCACATAACTGCAAGGTTCAAAAAACGTTAGCACTTTTGAGGGAGACACTAACTCACCGGGCAGTCGTAGGGAGGTTCTGTAGACAAGATCAGCCGCAGTGCAACCGATGTCGGCCTTGAGAGTGGAAAGGAGGGACAGCAGCACCAGGGGAAGGTGATCAGACCATCGGAAAGGATTGGGCTGGGCCATAAGGGAAGTCTTGAGCTGTCGATGGAAGCGTTCGACGAGACCATTTGCTTGAGGGTGGTACGTTGTTGTTCGGATTCGGTTGGTACCGAGAAGGGATGTGAATTCGCGAAACAGCGTGGACTCGAATTGGGATCCGCGGTCAGTGGTGACAGTCGCAGGAACTCCAAAATTGGACACCCAATGAGTCAAGAGAGCTCTTGCTACGGTTTTCTCACTGATGTCCGGAATGGGCGCAGCAACCTGCCACCGAGTAAAGCGATCAATGCATGTCAGCATATAGGTAGAACAGTTAGATGGTGGAAGCGGACCTACCAGGTCGATGTGCACATGACTGAAGCGTGCATCAGGAGTGGCGAAAGTACCTGGCGGAGTAATAGTATGCCGACGCGTTTTGGCTCGTTGACATGGTAGACAGGATCGGGTCGAACGCCGTACATCCCGTTTGATGTTGGGCCAGACGAATCGGTCAGTGATGAGTTTCACTGTCGCCCGGACTCCAGGGTGGGATAGATTGTGAAGAGCGTTGAACACTCGTCGTCGTAATTTTGCTGGAAAAAAGGAAGTTCGTGTCCGGTAGAAAGGTCACACGTGATAGTGCCTGTGCCAGTGGGAAGGGGGACATCTTGAAGGCGTAAAGAAGAGTCCTCGCGGCGGTATTGGGGGAGTTCGTCATCCGATCGTTGAGCCTCAGCCATGAGTGTGAAGTCTATGGCGTCTGTTGTGATGGAAACCATCTCGATTCTTGAAAGAGCATCAGCAACCACATTTTCCTTACCGTGGACATGTTGGATGTCGCAGGAAAACTGTGATATGGAGTCAAGATGACGAATTTCACGGGGCGAGTATCGATCGGGAGAGGCCCTGAGTGCAAAATCGAGTGGCTTGTGATCTGTTAGAACAACAAATTCACGACCCTCGAGGAAAAGGCGGAAGTGCCGGATGGATAGATAGACGGCAAGGAGTTCTCGGCCGAATACACTGTAGCGGGTCGCTGATGGGCTGAGCTTCTTTGAAAAGAAAGCCAGAGGCTGTAGAACACCACTAACAGTTTGCTGAAGTGACGCACCAACGGCAGTGCTGGAAGCATCTGTCATGAGAGTTAGCTGAGCATCTGAGCGAGTATGGGCAACTAATGTTGCGTTCGCAAGTGCGGCTTTGACGTCATTGAAGGACCTGACGGCCTCCTCGGTCATCACCAGTATCTCCTTGGAGTGGGTCAACAGGCTGTTGAGAGGCTGCAGTATGGTGGCACTATGGGGCAGAAAACGGTGATAGTAGTTCACCATCCCCAAGAAGCGGCGTAGTTGGTTGATGGTTGTCGGGACGGGGAACGATGATATGGCCAAAACGTTTTCTGGGACAGGCTTTATCCCATTTGAGTTCATTTCGTGACGCAGGAAGATTAGGCTTAGGGACTCCAAACTCATATTTGGCAGAATTGATTACAACGCCGAAGGAGTCGAGTCATTCGAAGAGTTGTCAGAGATGAATCTCGTGTTCAGCAGCGTCAGAACTAGCCACTAGCAAATCATCAATGTAGGCGTAGACGAAGTCGAGACCTCACAGAACCTGATCAATGAATCGCTGAAAGGTTTGAGTGGCGTTCCTCAGACCAAAGGGCATACGAGCGAATTCGAATAACCCAAAGGGAGTGGTCACTGCAGTTTTCGGCACATCACTGGCCTCGATTGGAATTTGGTGGTAGGCACGCACAAGGTCAATCTTGGAGAATATTCGCTTACCATGCAGCGAAATGGTGAAGTCTTGGATATGCGGGACGGGATACTGGTCGGGGACAGTCAGAGTTCTACGCCCGATAGTCAGCACACGGTCGCCAGTCGCCGCTCTTCTTTGGGACAAGATGGAGGGGTGATGCCCAGCAGCTGTCGGACTGTCGGATGATGCCGAGCTCAAGCGTGTGTTTGAACTCTGCCTTGGCAATCTTTAAACGGTCCGGAGCAAGACGACGTGGTCGGCAAGATTTTGGAGGTCCAATGGTGGAAATGTGGTGAATGACTGTGTGTTTGATGTCCACTTCACGAAATAAGGGGTTGGTCAGGCGGCGAAACTGCCTGAGCAGTGAGCTGAAAGAACAGTCAGAGATGGGCATAACGCAGGGGTTCACGTCCGATTGACAACGGGCATGAAGTTTGGTGATGAAGTCGATGAGTCGGCGATTCCTCAAATCTACTAGTAGATTTAAGTGAGCTAAGAACTCGGCGCCTATGAGGGCGACGGAAACGTCGGCAATAATAAAACCCATCGGAAAATTGGACGAAGGCCCAAATCAAGTGTGGTGGAGCGCTGTCCAAAGGTGGGGATGCTGGAGTTGTTGACAGCTGTTAGACTAAAAGAGCTGCGGGTTCTGCGTTCGGCCGGAGTTGGTGGAACCCCGCCTACCTCGGCACCAGAGTCGACAAGGAATTTGGCGCCAGCGATACGGGCTCGGAGAAACAGACGGCGAGTGTGAAGATTGGCAACGCTTTCAGTAGCAGTGGCCTCTACTGTCGGGTGGGATCGTCTCCCTGAGGCCGTTACAGATACCTTGAAAGAGCATGACTGAAGACATCGTCGAGCTGCTCCTCCAAATTGTTGGTGATACCAGCAGACGCTACTTGGAGATTGTAGGCGGCGGGTGTGGAAAACGGAGGAAGAACGCGGGCGGTTTGGTGTTCGCCGCGGGCCGTTAGTGGTAACTGCAGTGAACTGGGATTTCAGGCGCATTAATATCTCCTCGAGCCTATCCAAGCGTACGTTAGCTCCAGTAGAATTTGGGTAGATGAGTGACTTCTGGTCTTGGGACATCGCGCTGTAGGTCGCCGGAAGATTGTTCTTGTGGACGAAAAGTTTGCGGAATTCTACTGTTCAGATATTCGAGGTCATCAATTTGTGGCGATCATGGATTTGAGATCAACTTAAATCACGCACAATAAGTTTGTTTCGTCTAATGACAGAAGTCAGGCAGCTGTGAGGACTAGTTTATTGTGTACACAGGGCAGATTGCCGTAAGTTGGCTGTTTGCTTGCAACAGAGAAAAGCGTCGGTTCACGGAGAGCGTCAGTCGCGGTGTGTAGTTTACGCGGGAGTGAAAGTGTGTGTCAGTAGGTGGGGGTGACTGGTTGGATGCTGGTCATGAGATTGGACGGATTAGGGGAGGATTAGGGGAAAGCATAATTACAGGGGCTCACGGGTATCAAGCCAGGTCGTCTGACGCGCATAAGGTGATAACAGTTTGTGGGGGCAGCCGGGGGTCACTGCAGCTGGACAGGAGGGGGGCCCAATTATAATCGGCGGGGGTGGTTGTGTGTCATCGGCCTGGCAACGATTGTCACGGCCATCGACCGACAAAACGGAGCCGGAGAAAAGAGGGACTGGAGCGGCTGCTACACTCTATCTGCATTAGGTGATAAAGTAAACCTGTTTGTGTAACTTAAACATAGGTCCTGTATGATAAAGCAATCTGAGAAATTATGGGACCTGTAAGCTTGGTATGACAAAAAGACATAAAAATACACTTGAATGACGAAAATTTCATTTGTGGTATTGAACTCCATATCAATAAGCGTAGTAAATCGGCATTAATTTTTTCGACGCAGACATTTGCGGTGTACTTAGAATATGATTAAACGCAATAGAGGTCGTCGACGTAAATAAAAATTTGCGAATTTCTGATTTCGGTCGAAGTTTCGTTGATGTAAGGACGGAAGAGAAGCGGACCCAGTACCGTACCTTGCAGGACGCCACTCGTGCTCGAGTGAGGCGTCGATTAGCTAATACCAGCAATGACTTTCTGATAATAGTTGAATAAGTAGGACTCGATGAAGTTGAGTAGAGGCAAACAGGTGTCGGGAGCTTCTAATTTTACCAAAAGTCGTCTATGTGGCACGTTGTCGAAAGCTTTTCAAGGGTCAAAGCAGATGACTATAACTAACTGTTGCTCATTACGACGAGAAGTTATTAGATTAAGAAAGGACAAATTGCATGTTTCGCCGGAACTTTCAGGTAAAAATCTGTATTGATTAGATCTCAGATGCTGATCACCTGGACAGAAATCAAGAATTACATTTAAAATTATCCCTCTAAGAAGTTTAGCAGGCGATGGTGTTTTGTGTACGTCCTGATATTTATTTACTTTGGATTGAGATCCGGGGTTGAAGACAGGAATGACAATTAACGTCTTCCATGTATCCGGAAAAAATCCGTCTGACATACAAACAGAGAATAAATGATTAAACAATATGAGAAGGTCGGATGCCTGTTTGGTATTCAAATTTGGAATCCTGTTCGTTCCCGAGCAATGCGATTACTTCAAACGACTGATGTGTTCTTACTTAGATCAGAGGAGACATTGGTAGTGCACAGTGTCCTATCGGAAAGTGAACGAAAGAAAGGGACTGGTTCGGACTCACTGGTAAGTGTTTTGCGAAGAAAGCACTAAACAACTCCGACTTGTCAGTATCAACGATGAGAAATATTTTGTTATCGTTCTGCAGGGGCGCAAGTTCGTGACTACGCTTAGAGGAGGACCGATGACGGAAGATGTTAGCGACGGATTGGGCAGCGTTTGTATCACTAAATGGATCCAGGATTCTGTTCCACACATAATATCTGGCGTCATTTCGGGGTGATTAATCTGATTTGGGCCAATAGCGACCTGACATTTTACAATATAATATTTAATGAGTTTTTAGCTGCATGGCTGTTGTCAGCGGTTTTTGGAAAAAACATTTGAGGGTGGATATGTCAGCAATAAATTATTGTTATTGGGGAATAAGTGTCAGTGACTCCAGAATAATTGACATATGGGAAGTCGCCAAAAAACTCTCTGCGGGAGACCTCAAGGATGTAGGGATATAGTTTTCAGACTCTGGAATACAAAGAGAGTTAGAAAAGGGATAGGCTTGTTGGTAGTTAACTTGGGGAGGAGGGAGCCTAGATGAAAGGCAGAGACTGGCTGGGAGAGGGTAGGCAGCTATAACAATTAAAGGGTGGAAAATCAGGTCTAGGATGGAAGTCAAAGTAGCTAGGCTGACATACGTGAGAAGAGTTGGTCTTAGGTATTTGGAAGCCTGAACGAGGTAGGAGGGTAGACGACTTAGGGCGATTCATGTAAGGGTTATTTGAAGAATCGATAGTAGGGTTTTGGTAAGCAACCGGTATGTGAGCAGATAATTATTTAGGGGTATAATAGGTGCTACGGGGTTTATAGACAAGCTTGACTGTGAAGGCCTGGTTAATCTGAGAAGGCGGCATCCCAATAAACGAAGTTATGCTAGCTTTCTTTTGGGTCAGAGTCGGATTACATTTTTGGATCACATCGCTCTGACGCCATGCCAGAGTTGACTTAAATGGAGAACTCGAAGGATCCACATGAAGGGGGAAGCTATCGGTCCAACTGATATAGACGGAGTTTCGTGCGTTCTAGGAGGGCCATCAGGCGGATTATGGACGAAAACTGGGAATGCTGCTAATTTGGAGACAGACGAAGGCTAAAGGCGGCCTGGGTGGGAGGGAGGTATAGGAGTAAGGATTAGCAGTGAGCCGGATTTAGCAGCAGCAGGATTAACTGAATTCTTACGGTTATTCTTAATATGAGCGAATTAATAAGCATTCGACGGAGAAGATAGGGGTTCACTTAAGAAAAGTGGGCCAAATCTTCGCATCATGAAGGAAAAATTTCGCGTTTTTCAGATATGCAGAAACACGATCTCGATGGGCAAAGATTGAATCAAGCTCGGTTTGGGAAAACAGTTTAGGTACAACAGACGGATTCTTGCTACAGGAAGAAAGACATTTGGCTTCCGCCATTTTATAGTTGAGAGGAGGTAACAGGGCAGCGACGACAAATTACAGGCCCATAAGCTTGACATGCATTCTCTGCAAAGTTATGGAAAGGACCATAAAGAGTGAACTGATTCAATTCCTGGAAGTTCACGGCCTGCTATCGAACTGCCAACATGGGTTCCGGAAAGAAAGATCCTGCACCACAAACTTGCTGCAATCTCCCCAGAGCCCAACCCTAGATCTCGACGACAGGCACGCGGTCTACATAGCCTTCATCGACTTCCAGAAGGCGTTCGACACTGTGCCACACCAAAGGCTCTTACATAAGCTGAAAAAAATAGGGATCGGTGGCAACTTCCTTAAATGGATCGAAAACTTCCTTGTGTGTCGACACCAGGTTGTGTGCGTCGGTCGGGGAAAGTCAGATCCGGTTATGGTCGAGAGTGGTGTCCCCCAGGGTTCAGTACTGGGACCCATTTTGTTTCTTATCTACGTGGACGATGCCGCAAGAGATTTAGACTGTGAAGTATCAATGTTTGCGGATGACATGAAGATATGGAGTGTAATTCGGGGTCCTGCCGATGAAGACAGACTGCAGATGAACCTGAACCGGTTGGAGGAGTGGTCAAACCGTTGGCTCCTGCGGCTCAACGTTGCCAAATGTAGCATACTTCGCCTAGGCAACACAGCCAGATCCGCCAGCACAAGAGGCTACTTTCTGGGCGGTGCAGCCCTACAAGAGGTCGAAGCCCAAAGGGACCTCAGTGTGCTTACGACGAGTTCCCTAAAACCATCCGCCCACTGTTCGAGGGTGGCAAAAAGCGCAATGTCCGTACTGTACGCCATCAAGCGTGCGTTTATGGACTTTGACGAAGAAGCTTTCTCTAAGACATTCGGAACATTCGTCCGGCCGCATTTAGAGTACGGCATACAAGCTTGGAGGTCGTCGGCTGTTGTGGATCAAAACTGTCTCGGAAGAGTCCAGAGGAGAGCCACGAAGATGGTTAGGGGTCAAAGCCCCTTTCCTTATGCAACCCGCCTAGTAAATCTGAACCTCTTTCCTTTGAGTTACAGGCAACTTCGCGGAGATCTCTTGCAAGCCTTCCGCTTTATAAAGGGGTTGGATTGCAGTCTGGCCTTCGAGGACTTTTTTGAATTTGCTACCACGACCAACCTCCGAGGTCACCCGTTAAAACTGCGCACTCAGCAGGTACGGCTGGATGTAGGGAAGTTCTCTTTCTCGGTTCGGGTGGTCAAACCTTGGAATGAGCTTCCCGCAGATGTTGTGATGTCACCATCTATACAAAGTTTTAAGAAGAATCTGGACATATTTGTGTTCCGAAATGGCCAAGAGCGATGAGAAGTCGAACTCACCCCCTGTAACTCCTTCTCATTTTGTCCAACCATTATGGGCGTGTTCGAACTATTTCAGCCCAGAACATCTATCTGTACACCACACATTTTTTACGTTGCAAATAGGGTACTCAAAGGCTTGCACCTATTTCCCTCAATAAACTGAACTGACCTGAATCCACAAACTCGTACCGGGGACTTCTTCGAGATAGCAAACACCACAAACCTACGAGGCCATCCATTCAAACTACGTGTGACAGGGGCCAGGCTGGACACACGAAAATTCTTCTTATCTAACAGAGTGCTAGAAGCCTGAGACGCCCTGCCTGTTGATGTCATTATGTCTGCTTCCGTTGGGGTCTTTAAGAGGAAGCTGGATTTGTGCGACAGTTTCCATTAAATTACCACCCGACCTCTGTAACCTCGACAAATTCCGTTTTTATCATACTACTTGCTATAATTTAGTAACATTTACGTTGAACTTCTTATTGTCTCCAACCCATCGCCTCCGCTTCCTGGCATGCACCTATGCAAATTTTGTCACCGGGTATGTTATTTATTTCCCTGCACTCGAAACGGCCGCTGTACAGCTGCTCGTACCACAAACATTCGAGACAGATTGTTTGTCTGTACAGATCTGACGCTTTTCCGATTATTTGTTACCTTTA